CCTTTTTATAGCAAATTATAACATATAAATGTACTTCCTTCATTACGAATTTGTTGTGTTCAATACCAAATAACATAAGAATGACATTAACATTTAATAATTTATTTTGTTTTTATTTTCTTTCTAAACATTTGAGTTACATTCGTTAATGAGAACCAGATACAATAATCCTCGTGAATTACCTTTGGAATTAAGTTTGTCACGTAACATAATAGTGATAAATACTATTACTATATTATACTTCATCCATTTAACAGACTTGCAACAAGAAACTGGGTTTGTATACAAGACTTGCGTTAAGAAATTTTTTTTTATGTTAATCTGGGTCTGTAGAGAGTTTTTTTGTCAAAAAGTTGAGCAAAGACTTAGACTTTATATGGTTATAAAAACTCTGCACTTTTTGAGTCAATATAATGACTAGTAATTAATTGATTGGGATGAATCTATACCATAGGACTTTTCATCACGTGTCATAATTTCACATTGTTAACGATGTGGAAACTGGAAAAGTATACACTCTTGCGTTTCAAATTTCTCCGTTCACTTGTTTTTCTAATGCAAACTATGACTGACTCTTACGACTAGTAACTTACCTCCAAAAAGAACTTGAGACTAGATTATAAAAAGTTGAAATATAGACTAGTTTACCAATAATTCTGTACATATAGTCTATATTAACATGTGATCGTCAGGGTAGGACGTTCGTACGCACGTACGTAGATGATGATTACACAATCTAAGCTAAGACTTAATCAACCAATTAACGTGAAGCCCATCTAAACTTTTCTTTTCATAAGGAATAGGGCCATGTGATTTTACCGGACAAATAATGAACCTGCAATTTTTCTGAACAAACAAAATTACTAACATTTTAGAACAGTCAGATGAAAAGCCTATTATGTTACCATATACATAAATATATCTTAATTTAGAAAAATAAACAACTCATTTGTTGTTCCCATTAGCTCATTGCTTAAGCATGCATGGTAGCTAGAATTAACGGACGTATAAAAACCTATTTTATTGTATATATATTATATTTTATTATTATTTGTAGAAAAAGAAACAAATAACTCGTGTGATTGTTGTTCTCACTGCGTAAGCATGCAGGGTAGGCAATAAATAGAAAGAAATGCAGAACAAAAAATGAGCTTAGATCCTACTACATCAAGTTCTTAATTTCTTATTCGAAAATTGACCGGCTATACTAGTTTTATGGAATTTTTTTTTTGACTGATACTAATATTAAGGAAATTACGACTATAGTTTTAATGGTAAACGATATTTTCATATATGGTATACATATTTCTTGGTATGGTATTTAATGGTAAACGATATTTTTTCTTTAATAGTTAGCAGATGTTTTCAAAAAAAAAAATTTGAAAGATTGTACTTCACAAAGCAATATATTAAATGGCAGCTTTATATATGTTTATCGATATAATTAACATCAAATAAGAAAAAGTGACATTTCGAACATTGATTTGGTTTGTATTTACAAATATCTTTTACAAGTGACAAGTCTCACCCATCGTTGCCCTCTTTTTTTTTTTTCTCTGTCACGAGCCCTCTAGGTTATTCCATGTACATTATAGATCTCATGGATTGTAGTAAATTGCACAAGTTGGCTGTACGAAGCCGATATAAATTGAATTAAGCATTAAATATTGAGTTGAATAATAAGCTCTAAACAGTCAAGGAAAGTGGTGCTAGGTCCGTGGAACAACTTTTCAACACTGCCAACTGGACATTTTATTCCTCAAAATTCGATTTTTATTTATTTCAATTCGATTCAGAAATCTGGATATTCATAAATTTTTTTGAAAAATAAATATCAAAAAATAATATATATTAAAAATAAAACAAATCACAGATATAATTTTTTAAGAGATGGATATCTGCTTCGGCTTTATATAAATAAATGTATATTTTTTTTTTTTTTTTTGTCATCCAAATAAATGTATATTTACAGTTACATATAATGTTTAATTTATGATATACATATACAATATTAAATAAAGAAAGGAATATAAAATTCTGTATTTTATCAAAATAAATATTTCATTACAAAGATGTATGAAACATATAGTTCCACTAATTTTTCACTTTTGCTTTAATATTAAGTAAAAAGTTTTTTTAAACAAAAAGTGTATCGCTTTTTAAAAAATTATTTGTATTAAACAAAATGTACGTAAATGTTTAAATATATATATATATATATATATCTGATAATTTTCTTGATATCTGGAAAACCAAATATCTGTATTTCTTCGTTTCAAACCAAATAGAAATATTAAACATCTATATGGTACGAATCAAATTATAAATACCAAAAAATTATAGCATTATTTGATCTTTGTCCACCCTACTAGTGCCAACCATATCAAACTCTCTGATTTCGTAGAAACCGCATATAAATTTGGATATTTCGTAAGCATGTCCAATAAAATGGGATATTTCATGAAATTCCTAATGTTTTGGACTTTACCTAGAAATATTAATAATAATAATATTTGTATATGCATAAGCATTTGGCATGCATCCTTTTTAGATGCCTTATTATTTTCTTTATTTTTGTAAAAACAATTAGATGCATTATTAGTGGAATCCAACTTGGCATTTGGAATTTTCTTTGTTTCTAAATACTTTTGCTGTTGTCGTAAGGGCCTAAGGGGTTTTGTCGATCTTTCTCCAAATTTGATAAATATGTTATATTGTATTTATTTATTTACGAAACTGCATAATTATTTTCATACAGATTAAACAATAATAAAATCCCACTTAGTGATACACTAAATCAATTGTTTTCTCTAATTAACAAAACTTGATTTTTCGAAACTTTACAATAAATCGGTTCGGGCCCATTCGGATTTCAGGTTTTCAAGATTAGAGATTTTAGCTTCATTCGGATATTTATAAATTTTAGTTCGGATTCGGTTCGGATCTTTGTGGATTCGGTTTAGGTTCGGATAACCCATTTAAATTATTTTAAAAAATTTTAAAAATTTATATATTTTAAATTTCTCCAAAATCTAAAAAATAAAATAATATATAACATATATATTTGAGCAATGTATGCTAAAAATCGAAATTAACATAAAAATTGATTTGGATTGAATATTTAGATAGAGATTCAGTAGATATCTCTATAATATTATTTGAGAAGTCAGTTTCCTACGTGTCGTGCTCACATTAACTCTCGCGGTGGTTGATTACATAGATACCCTTAATGAATTATTAGATTTTAAGATTATTATTAATATTTTTATTTAATTTATTTTTTACCTTTTTTCCAAATAACATATATAATAAAAAGGAAATATTTCTAAAATTTTAAAACAAATTTTAAAACGAAAATATATGTATATAATATGACTTTATTAAAAAGGAAAGTTCACAAAATAGTAATACCCCCATTAATATATATTTTTAAATATCATAAAATATATTTTCAAAATAATAAAAATATATATGTTCATGATCATTCAAAAATTTATCAGTTATACTTTATTTTCTAATATTTACAAATCAACATATAATTTGATAAATATTATGAAAATACATGTATATTTAAGCGTAAATAAGATTAATTTGATTTGACGTAACTAAAATAAAGAGTGAATAAATATTATGAAAATACATATATATTTAAGCGATAAATAAAACTAATTTGATTTGACTTAACTAAAATAAAAAAGTAATTATACTTCAATTTTAATTTAAAAATATATTTAATTCAATATACTCATAAAATGAATGACTCGACTAATCTAATTTATATCCTAAATTAAACATCTTACTATAATAAGAACTCATAATTTTATAATAATAATAATAATAATAATATATTTAATTTTACATATAAATTAGAGGTTGACTCAAAGCATATTAAAAAGAAAAAAATATATTAACCTATTACAATTTAATTCTTTTGTAGAATTTATATATATGAGACTTCAAAATATTATCATTATATTCATTTATGTAATTTTGAATCAAACAATTCAGCTTATTATTTATTTCATTTTAAGCACACTATATAATAAATTATACATAATTTAACTATAATATATTTACATATCTAAGAATACATTTACATATCTAAGACAATAACCAACCGAAACGAAAATAAGAAAATTAATCAAAGTTTTATTATATTTAGAATAGAAAATATTATAACTGAATTCAAAAAATAGATATTATCCAATATACCAAATTGATAACCAAACCAATTACTGATCCAAAAAATAATTAAACCGACAATAATATATCAAAAATCATATGTATAGTTAGAATAATATAATATTTATTAATATAAATTATACATATAATTTATTTAAAAATAAAACTAAATAACAATCAATTATTATAAAATTTTACTTTTATGAATATTCATATCCGTGCATGAGCACGGGAAAATCACCTAGTTTTAATTATTTCTGATGTTTAAGTACTGTTTTACTATTTTATATATTTATTTTTAACTATTTGTATATATTTTCAAATATATTGGATATATTTTGGATATTAAATCTAAAAAGTAACTAATATATTCAATTACATAAATTTGATTCGGATATATACGGGACCCGAAATATTTCGGTTCGGATCGAGTTCGGTTTCGATTTTTTAGATACCAAAATTTTGAATCCATTCACATATTTAATCAATTTCTGTTCAATTTTGGTACTATTTTTGGATTGGATTCGGTTCGATTTTTTGGATTTAGAATTTTTTTCCTAGCCCAAGTCGTATATACTATACAACCAAAAAAAATCTGAAAGTAATATATTCTAGTCAAATGGTTGGACTAGTTTAATGGCTATCTTCTACGGATACCTACAAAGCACGGGTAAAATCCAAAGCTAGAACATTTGCATATAATAGTATGATTTTCTCTGATAAAAGATGAGAACAGGCCCAAAATTAATAGGAGCCTTACTGGAAAAAGGGCTAAAACAATTATTAAATTTAACGCCTTGGGCCTTAAAATCTTTTCTCATGGACAACTTTAATTTTGAATGTTCTGAAAATGTGGTAGTTATCAAACTACAAAAGACAACTTTGATTGTTGACAAAAAAAAACAACATTGGTCAAAGAAAATCTAAACTGGTAAATTATGAGAATTCTGACAAGATCTATGAATCCTCATAAACACTAATGTTATGAGGGCTGATGAATATTTCTGGCAAATCAAATGTACAATACTTAACCAATGTTACATCTATTTCATCTTCTGCTTCTTTTCTTTGGCTGTTGATTGTCTTTCCCTAATTCCTCTCCTGCATCAGTCACTTCCTCTGCTTCTTTCTTCGATTGCTTTCGTTTAGATGAACTCTTGTTACTTTTGTTCTCTACCTCAACCTTCTTTTTACACGTGTTGTTACTCCTCAGCTCCCTGAGTTTCACTTTACTGTTCCCTTTCTTTACGTTCCCATCACTCTTCTTCTGATTTTTACTCATTGTTTCTTTTCCTTTCTGTGGAGAGTTAGTTTTTATTCTCTTTAAAAATTCAGCCACACTCTTCTTCTTCTCCGATGCTGCCACTGCTCTCTTCTTCTCTGTCTTGAGAATCTCTTCTTTATCACCATCATCATCACTCGATGAATCTGTTTTTTGTTTCTTGTTAGTTTTGGCTCTTCCCATTTTGGTATCCTTGGCGACAACTTCTATAACCTTGCTCGTTCTCCTAGAGCTTCTTGCAGCAGTAGTCACAATCTTCTTCTCTGAAACTTCCTTAGTCTCCTTCTCATCCTTTTGTTTAAGAGCAAAGCTCTTCTTGCATGCAACAAGAGGAGGAGCAGATGGTTTCTGTCTTGAAACCAAAGATAACGCATCTGCTTTGGTGACACGATGAATCAATTTTCCTGTATTTTTCTTTATTTCGTTAGAGACGAGGGTCCTAAGCTCTTGTGCAGCTATGTATTCTGATGAAGATGAAGGAAAGAAAACAATGGCGTTTGTGAAGAGAAGCTTGAGGTCTCTGTAAAAAGAGAGACTAGAAGAAACATATGATCCTTTTTCCATCTTCTTCTCTATTGTTTTAATGTCCAAATGCTGTCTTATCAATCCCTTGTAATCCTTGGTCTCCTGCGAGATTAAATACAAAAACGTATTTTAAGTAATGGGCTTCTGTGTACGTATATTATGTGTTCAATGTTTTTAATCTAACGGCCTAACTAAAGCCCAACAAAGTCAATAAGTTGACCATATCCTCATAGACACGTTAAAGCCATGCTTCAACGGGAAGTTGCCATGTGTCCATGGTGTATGAGTGAAAGAAAATAAAGAAAATAAAGAAAAAAATGTCTCTTGGTCAAATATCATCTGAATTTCAGTGTAAAACATCACGAATTGTATAAGATCAAAAACACACGCTAACATTCATACAATACTTACTATTATATGAAGAGCTATATACATTTAAATACGATGATATTATTAATTTTAGCTTGGTTTACAAAAACAGATAATATTATTATTAATAATAATAAGAAACAATAAAGAGTATTTCAAAAAAAACTGATGTAAAATAAGCCCTTTCTCAACAAAAAAAAAAAAAAAAAAAAAAAAT